CGCAAATGTTTGCCCGCTTGGAAATCTCGAGTGACTGTTAGCGGCCACAAAGAGTTCTTTTTAAGTGGTGATCGCATAGACAGGGTGATGAAAACGCCGGTATCCACCGTAAGGGAAATAAATTTTGATGTTCCCGTTATTCTTTTGAAATTTTCAGTCTTTTGGCCATAGTAGACAGGAGAGCTGCCCGGGTGTTTCTCGTTTTGTCCACAACAGGACACCTCTCGCTGTTTCCACTGCTTTTTCAGGCCCAAGGTAAAGAGAAAAATAAATCTTTTTATATCCTGAAATAAACGGTAAGGCTCGATTCCTTGAAGAATGGCTAGCCCACGGTTAGCCACACTTTGAGGGGCCTCTGATCTATCTTTTTGGAATGTTGCTGGAGAAAATTCTAGCCGTATAACTTAGGGTAGGCTCACTTGGCACAGGACAAATCTTCGACCTGCTAAAAAATATGAACGGACACTTTGTTTACACGGAACCGTTCAATAGGCTTTTCAAACGTTGGATAGTGCTATCCACAGAATAAATCACTATGCAGCGGATAGCATAATTGCCAATAATACTATCCGCTGGATAGTGATTTATGCTGTGGATAACGCTATCCAGCTTTTGAACAACCTGGGCCTGGACTTTTATCTTTCAAATCACCTTTTTTCAAAGTAGATGCAATTGTTGATTGACAATTTTAATCCTGGATTAGCTTTAATTTGGCCTTTCAGGAACGGGGCGGGCCCTGTACGCTACGTTTACTAATACGGTGACTGGTCCCTTTCTTTTTCAGAAAGCCCAATTAAAGTTTGTTTGATGTTAATGTTCACAATTTTTTCGTTTTATTCTCTTTGTCTTGTCCACTGGTAAGTTATCTCTTCTCTCTTTTATTTTTCTTGTCCTAATACCGTTCCCCGTGGACGCCATCGGACCATACCGTGGGTATCAAAGGTTTTTCTCGCGTGCAGCGGGATGCTTCAGCTGACACATCTCCGTCTGAAGGACGAAAGTCGCTACCGGAAACCGCGCATAAAAGTCTTGAGCTCCCAGGGTATCATAACCAGCAATAACGAGAAATTGTCAGCAAGCAAATTGACGTCATCGAGTTTAATGACCACGGATGTTACCTTATTGATACGTTGATTAAGTGCCACGGATCCGCAACAAAGTCTGGAAATATTTGTTACCAAGTGATCATTTACAACCTGCGTAGCACGCGCACGAGAAAGTTTGAAAGAAAGAACGGCAGTGCGAGAGAGGAGGACTCGCGCATGTCCGTTTCTCTCGCGCGCATAACTTACCCCACTCGCCGTAATTCGTTTGTGCCCGCCACGCAGGCTAAGTGAACACTGGCTTGGTTTGAGTTTAACTCTTTAAGTCCCCCTTTAAGTCCTTTAAGACACCGTTTAATGTACGTATTTGCCCTCATTGCAGTGGGGAATCCTCTAAGGATTACACTACCACGGAGCTGTTCACATTACCCATAGTCACGTGGTACGAGGCCTGTTATCTTTACGGGTTGCTAGTTCTGGAGTTTTACTGCACCGCTGTTCATCCTGTAACTGTGCTTGCCACAAAGTTGCCTTTTCTGCCTCTGATGCTGACTTCTGTGTACTGCGCAGTAGGAGTCGTTTGGGCGTGGCTTTTGTTTTACGTGGACACGTTAAGAGGGGTCGCACAAACAACGATGAACCCACCAGGGGTGGTAACTTTGAAACCAGCTGCACCAGGGAAGAAAACGACCAGAAAGAAACAATGAGTAGAAACGTTTGATATTAATATGATATTAAATACCTTTAGATTCGAGGACGAGAACGACTACCAGTACGAGATTTGACTGAAAGGTTTCTCGCGTATTCTCAAAAAATAGATACCCCGAAACGCGTTATTGTACGTTTTTACCAGAAATTTAACGCTGTTATCTTTATCGGAGGAGGTTAAGCCCTCTCCCGGTCGCAAAATAATAAAAACTTTAACATTTGATAACTTATTTCCGCATTTTCGCCACCATGATAGGCTTGGATAAATTTTGCCGGCAGAAGTTCGAGCAGAATAGGTGATTTTTGAGGCGAGCAATCTGCTGGCAGAATATGGCATTTTCGAGCAGAATTTGAGCAGAATGAGGGAAAATCAGAGGCGCTAATGATATACATAACAGTTGTAAGAAAAATTTAAAACTAAATAAATAAAACAATTGGAAAATACCTTGTGATTAATTTGATTGTTTAATAGCTAAAACGCACTCACATTAAAAGAAAGTCCCCGTCCACACGTATCCGTTTTCATTTGAAAACGCAACTTTTTCTCTACGGATACAACTCCGTCTACACGTATCCGATGAAAACGATCAATGAAAACGGAAATTTTTGAAAACTCTCTACAGAGTGGAACTGTTTGAAAACGCTGTTTTCGCGTGTACGTGTACACGAAAACGGAACTTTTCGAAAGACGCTGAGGTCTCGTAGGTCTTCGTTTTCTAGGTCGTCGTTTTCTAGACACCCGAAACTGGGTAGTTTCGGCTCGATTTACACAGCTTTGATCAAAACATTCTCGGTTTCGAGAACAGTTTATTCTAAACCATAAGAAAAGATTTAATTAGAAGTTGAATTTTTCGCTATTTCTCTTTCACTTTTTACATTCAGTTCATTTTATTTGCCGGAAAGCAAGCCTCAGAAATTAAAAGGACGTTTGATCGATTCACGCTCGCGCATTCTAGTCTTATTTGAAACTTTATAACGGAAGGACATCTGTGAGCAGGGAATAAGTCAGCACAGAATTTGATTGTCAGCGAATGTCTGTAATCGTCCATCGTTCTGCTAGTGATAAGCTAGCCGTTGTTCACTCGTCTTGCTTGTTTGGGGCTGAGTCTTATTCCGGTCAAAGAGAGAGAAAGAGTGTCTGGCAAGGTTTCTTTGTAGAATATACAAAGTGACTTTATGGCTAAATTTTTCTTATAACTGTGGTGTAAATTTATTGCAAATTTTGCATTTATATATACACCCCCTAGATCGGCGGATCGCTAGATCGGTGGATCAGTAGATCGGTTGATCTGTAGATTGCTAGATCGGTGCAGGCGCGTATGTCCATATACGCACGTACACCCGTGCGTACAGCAGAGATCTGAGAAAAGAGTTTTCTCATTAAATTTGCTGGCTAATAATTTCATATTTTCACATTATACTGGCGTTTTTTATCAGAATTCCCATTATCCAAGCATTAATCATTCAGTGCTGGCCACTAATAATGGCAAAATGCATTTGAGTGGCAAGCAAAAATAGGAGAAACGCCTCATGTGCCCCTCCCTCAAGGTCAGCCAGCCTCACCAGTTTCCCCAGCCCCGCAGGTATTCTTGAAGGAGAGGTTACTATGCCATGACGTGTGGCTTCAGAACAAAACGTATTTGCCGTCAACGGAGATTAGGAATATACTTGTGAGGTCAAACAGTGAAGCCCCAGTCATTGATTTTCCGAAGAAACTGTTAGAGAATCCTATGAATAATTCTGCGACTTGAGGAGCGTGATCACTGGCTTCTGTAGTGTTTTCGTGTGTTTCGTGACAAAGAGTACACGCATATGGCTCGAAAATCGATACACGATTACTTCAACGTAATTAACAAGACAACTGAACAACGTGCAGAAGGAGCTGAAGGAAAATTCTGAGGATGAGGTTAAAACCGAAGTCACAAGATGGAAGCACAAATGGAGTGGCATGGATCCGAATGTGACTCAGACGCCGCAAACTTTGGTTGAGACTCTTGACCACGCAAACTCCCAATTTTATCCCGGTGTATATGTTGCTCTCGTAACATTGATAACTTATCCTGTGTCTACATGCACTGCCGAACGTAGCTTCAGTAGCATAAAGAGACCAAAATCTCCTCTGTGAAGTACAATGACGGACGAAAGATTAAGCTCCCCTAGCAATCCTTCATATACATAAACATAAGAACGTGGATATTGACAGGTTGGTAACGGAGTTTGCCCGTCTTATCGCCCCATGTAAGGTAATCCGAACGGAATCCAGGTAATTTTGGTCTGTGGAATCCGAATCCACGGCTTTGGAATCCGGAATCCAGCTAATGGAATCGGAATCCAAGCACTGTAATCCAGAATCCAGGTTGCTGGAATCCACTCTGTGGTGATGGTTCCAGGGCCTCTTCTTTTCCTTTAGCGACTGTTGCGTGAAAATCTCATGTCGCAAGGACGCCGCTAACAGGCATGTTCACGCGTGTTTCCCTCGCAGGAACATCCCTTGTCATTGTGACATATCGGGTATCAATTTGAAACAATGGTCACATTATAATGACAGAATCCCAGGAGTGATTCATATTACTGTATATTATCGCTCTTTATAAGACACCCTTTTCGACCGGCCTTTCGACCTTTTCCCTGCCGCGCTTTTGGAGTCGGAGGTTTAGATTCTTTTCCTGTTTGGGCTAATTGGAACTAATTTTTGATTTGGTAACGCCAAAAGAATAATAATATAAAGTATCCTTATTCTTGGCCGTAGTATCAGTAGTCGCTGTGGTTGCAGTTACTGGCTTCTTTAATTTCAGGCACATGTCATCAGTGTCACTCAAAGAATGACATGCTGCACGTGGTGTCACGTGGTGTCTTTCATTCAGTCCAGATTCAATCAGTCGAAATCAGACATCTCGAGAGATCACTTTGAATTTTTTTCTCAATCGATCGTTATCAATCTTTGTCAGCATGGGGAAGCACAAGAAAAAGCATGACTCGGAAAGGTACGTACGTCTATAAATTCGCTGACTGCGATCCCAAGCAAAAGAGCTTTATGAATTCCATGCTAGCAGACAGGGCGAAGTACCCCTACCAAGTCCCTATTCCTGACTGCCCACACAACATCAAGTCAGTACGTTCTGTAGAGTTTTGGCATTGGATTGACATTGATGGATACCTAGTGCTACGTAGAGAATACGAAGACATCAAGAAATCAGTTTCATTGAAAGCAGTTCGAAACAAAGATCGGATGGATGTAGAAACAGCAGTGGAGATTCACCGGAAAGAGATTCAAGATTCCATTCCAGATGAAAGAGTGAGCACAACATTAGTTCCAGAACTGGAATTCAAGCACTGGAAAAAGAACGGGGCCTCTCTTTTAAGCTACCCGGTAGGATTGGCATTCTCCCCAAAGCGTAGCAGGCTGTTTATTACCGATAGACATCTCCATGCAGTCTTCATGGTTGACATGCACTGTCCAGAAAATGTCACATTAATCGCTGGTGGTGGTGAGCCCAGGCACACTAATGGATATGGCAACAAGGCCAGATTTAGAAACCCAACTGGTATTGCGGTGAAAGAGAGCGGGAAGCTGTACATTTGTGACCAAGGAAACGGAAGAGTTAGAGTAGTCAATTTGCGAACGCTTTTCTGTCACGCTTCCCAGATTGTACAAGGGAGCGCGGAAGAAAGCCAAAGTGAGGAAGAAAATTGCGCCGGTAGACGTATCCGTAAAGTCCATGTACACGATCTTTCCCTTATTTCTGAAGGTAATGTACCGGATCTGGTGTCACCATTTGCCATATGTGCGTCTGCAAAGGGTAGCGTTGAACTGTTTGTGTCAGACGTTGGTCTTGGCAAGATTTTTTCAATTTCTGGTGTTGTAGACGATGAGGAAACTAACTGCGTCGGCCAGTTAAATGAATTGTTTTGTTTTGATCGATATAGTTCATTAACTTCATTAGCCTTAACACGTGACGAGCAATACTTGTTAGGTGGAGACGGGAATGGTCCATGTATTCATCTTTGTCAAGTGAGAGGACGATTGAAACTGAGAACAATTTCGAATATTCCAGGCCTCATGGGTATTGCAGTGACAGATGGTGGAACCGTGTTCTTGTCCTCCAGCAAAGAACACGCACTGTTCAGTTTGAAGGAAGAAGAGATGCTTGGGGGTAAAGAAACCCTAACAAAAGTGTCTGGAGAAACTGCAGGCCATCGTGATGGTGTCCAAAGTCGATGGAACAAGCCTACTGCTTTATGCGTATATCGAAACACTGTTTTCGTATGCGATACCGTAACGAGCAATAAGAATGTTGACGCCAGCAAAGGGACTGATCCCCTGCAAAGTAAGATGGCCCAATATGCAAACGTGTTCGACCGACAAGAAAGCCAAAGAAGAAGACCTACCACGTACATTTGAAGATCATGTGAAATCTGTCGAGGAGTTGGTTGCATTTCTCTCTAACCACGAACAGGAAGCCCTGAAGAGGACGGGCAAGCGTTTAAATACCAACGGTCCCGACATGACCATACCTCGATGCACCCGACAGTCCTTCCTCATAGTGCTAGAATCGCTGACCAGCCTTACCAACACGCTTAACGGAGATTGGGCGTAGTCACCTTCTGGACAGGATCTGTTTGAAAGTATGACAACTTTGGGCGTGGAATGCTATTTCAAAGGAATGCGAGCAGACCGCGACATGCCTACAGTGGCTAACTACGCTTACAGAAGAGCGCCGCCTGCGTGGAAGACGATATGCTGCGCATTTAACAGAAGAATTTCTCATATTTCACTGGGCCCAATTCATATTATCCGGAGAAAATTATCAAAGGTGAACCCCAAACATCAAGACGCAACCAAACAAGCTGTCAGCAATCACTGAAGGAACAGGTAGCAAAGAAGAAGACACAAGGCGAGAAACTGTGATGCGAGAATTTGCTAAGGAGTATGGAAGAGGCGTAAGACAGGAAAATGTCCGCTCAAAAACGAAAGAGCTAACTGGCACTCTTCCTTATGCCCTTAGTATGTGTCCCACTACCATCACAGCCTCATTAGAGGAAAGCGAAGACGTAACAACAGCTTGCCAAGTTGTGGATGCTAATGTGGCATTGCGGAGTACGGCTGTACGGGTGCAAACCATTTACCAGAAAGACGACATATTGGCAGTAAGACACAACCATAGAAGAGAGATCTCACCCTTCTGGCTAGCAGTTCTTCTGGAGGATGTACAAATAGAAGTGAATGGTGGAAATTTTGTGCAGCAAAGAGTATCCCTAAAGTGGCTAAACCAAACAAGTGATTCACTAACATACACCTCCGGTGATGTCTGTAATGGGAATTCCCCCAAGTGCATTCTAACCCGAGTACTCGACTTTTCTTTCGATGGATCAGACATCATTTTAACAACAGAGGAGGATAACAGGCTCTGTCGAATTGCTAATGGAGACCACGGTGACGATGATGACAATGAGAATGAAACTGCACCACCAACTGCAGAGGATGAGGGAGAAGTATCCCTCCCGATAAGACTGCCGGGAGTTAGTTTATCAGGACGGAGAACGACACGGTTTATTCTAAGATAAACGTTTCCGTTGCCTGCGTAGCTTGTAGTATAGTAATTGGACTATCTTCACGCTATTTGTTGTTAAGCTGTAACTGAAGTTTTACACTTCTGTGTGGCAATTAAACAATTCGGAGACGAATTATGTTTGAACCTGAAAAGCACTGATTTTGTCAATGTGTACCTCTTTTGTTATTATTAAAATAAGAATAGCCCTTCCTCGTTAGTATTTCTTCAACGATGTGGACTCAGTGGACTTCAGAAAACGCTCCTATATTCATAATCCTCTCGGTAAGGCCAAGAATTATATTTTATACTTATATTTTATATAAGACAATGTACACTTCGGGTAAAAAAAGAACAAGCTTTTTTGGTGAAAACAAAGTACAAAGGAAACGTTGAAAACCAGAAAATAGAATTTTGAAATCTGGAATCCAGCCACTTATGGAATCCGGAATCCACGGATGTGGAATCCGGAATCCACAGGCATGGAATCCGGAATCCACAGCGTGGAATCCGGAATCCAAGACTCTCTTGGATTACCTTACATGGGGCGAGTCTTAATGGTCGACGCCTCGCCTTCTGCTTGAGACCTGTCTTTATTGTTTTTGTATTTTTTTTTTCTTTTCGGAACACTGTAGCTTACAGAAAACACTAGGGAAATGGTTAAAATAAACAACTTTCTACTGCATTTTTACCGCATTATTTATTGAAAATGCACAGCTAAAAAACCAGGAGATGGCATTTCCGAGACCCTAAATTTCAAAATTTTCCGGGGAGCATGCCCCACACTTAGTTGTTGTAAGCGCCTTCGGCGCTTAGGAAAAATTTATTCTCGTGCGTACATCTGCAAAATCCCACGCAACGCCCCTGCGGTGGATCTGTAGATCGCTAGATCGGTGGATCAGTACACTCCTTTTTTTTATAAGAATATTGTTTTTCCGGCCCAGGCTGAATATTCTTATTTTTCTGCCGATTTTAGGCTGAAAATATTCTTGTATTATTCTTAAATTATAGCTTATGACATTTCCGTTTTAGAATTTACTGGGGTATATGTATATATATTACATGTACCGTTCATCGAACTGATATTAGCGTTGAACATTTTGCTATAGCTAGAGCAGGTTTTTTCGTTTTGTTGGCTAGTTTCGCCGTTCAGAGAAAGGAATAATTTTATACGGTTAAGTTAAAAACAGAAAATTGTATTGTATTTACAGATGTTTCAACACACAAAATTATATCTATCCTTTTCAAAATCTCAGCCTTAACTTTATTCTTAAAATATTCTTAATATTTCGCAAATTTCAGCCTAGATATTCTTATAAAATATATTCTTATATAAAAAAAGAGTGTAGATCGTCATTCAGGGCCTTTAAGCAGCTAGAGTGTATGGACAAGTCCAGAGTGTCTTTTTCATGGACTTGAATGTTTCTTTTGCTAATCAGGAACCAAGAAGAGAGTCACCTTAAGAGAACCATGGGTAAGAGCTGAGTTTCTTGGCAATATTTACTTTAGTTGAGTCAGTTTAAGGTGTGTGGGCTCCTGGTGTCCGATGTTACGGTTTTCATAAATCCGGCTAGATGATGTCGTTGAATGCTGTCGGGAGGGGAGAAATGGGGCCAAACTGGGTTGGGAGGAGGCAGATTTGGCCCGAGGTGACCTCCTTCTTGGAAAAGACAGCATTTGTCGTCAACATCTAGCCGAATTTTTGAAAACCTACCTGAAAATGCACCAGAATATTCGCACAATATTGGTCACTGCACTGAGAGAAAACATAGGGGGCTTGCTGTCCTGCTTGGTCTCATTGTCAAGTTCAGTCCCTGAGCTAACTTGCCATGGGTTGGAAAGGGGCCTCCACGTCAATCCCTAGGGGGGGAGGCTGCTGCAAAAGCGTTGTACCTTCCGTTAGTCCTGGTCTGGGAGAGTCAGTGCACTGGTCGTCTGCCTTTGGTTTGTCATGTGAAATTCTTGTGACGTTTGAGGCCCATTGGCCAATGAAAGCATTCCCCCTCAAGCACGTGCTAGGCTGGGGGGTGGAGGAGATCAGGGGGGTGACTTAACCTTGAATTCTCTGCTTAGAACTTGCTGAAGTCTCAAAGCGTCCTCCGTCATTCAGGGCCTTTAAGCAGCTAGAGTGTATGGACAAGTCAGAGTGTCTTTTGATGGACTTGAATGTTTTTTTTGCTAATCAGGAACCAAGAAGAGTCACCTTAAAAGAGAACCATGGGTAGGCTGAGTTTCTTGGCGTTATTTGCTTTGTTGAGTCAGTTTGCAGTGGTTTCCTGGTGTCCGAGGTACGGTTTCAAACCGCCAGATATGTATAGCCGTATTTATGAAAACCGTATCATCGGACACCAGGAGCCCACACACCTTAAACTGACTCAACTAAAGTAAATATCGCCAAGAACCTCAGCTCTTACCCATGGTTCTCTTAAGGTGACTCTCGTCTTGGTTCCTGATTAGCAAAAGAAACATTCAAGTCCATGAAAAAGACACTCTGGACTTGTCCATACACTCTAGCTGCTTAAAGGCCATGAATGACGGGCGACGCTTAAGACTTCAGCAAGTTCTAAGCAGAGAATTCAAGGTTAAGTCACTCCCCTGACTTCCTCCACCCCCCCAGCCTACCACGTGCTTGAGGGGAATGCTTTCATTGGCCAATGGGCCTCAAACGTTACAAGAATTTGACATGACAAACTAAAGGCAGACATGACCACTGCACTGACTCTCCCAGACTTGACAATGAGACCAAGCAGGACAGCAAGCCCCCTATGTTTTTTCTCACCGCAGTGACCAGAAAGCTGGCTATCGCCAGCTTTCTGTGCGAATATTCTGGTCCATTTTCAGGTACGTTTTCAAAAATTCGGCTACATATATATATATATATATATATCACTAGTCATTCCAGTCATCCCTAGTCATCCCTAGTCATCCCAGTCATCCCAGTCATCCCTAGTCATCCCTAGTCATCCCTAGTCATCCCAGTCATCCCTAGTCATCCCTAGTCATCCCTAGTCATCCCAGTCATCCCAGTCATCCCTAGTCATCCCTAGTCATCCCTAGTCATCCCAGTCATCCCTAGTCATCCCTAGTCATCCCTAGTCATCCCAGTCATCCCAGTCATCCCTAGTCATCCCTAGTCATCCCTAGTCATCCCTAGTCATCCCAGTCATCCCTAGTCATCCCTAGTCATCCCTAGTCATCCCTAGTCATCCCAGTCATCCCTAGTCATCCCTAGTCATCCCTAGTCATCCCTAGTCATCCCAGTCATCCCTAGTCATCCCTAGTCATCCCTAGTCATCCCAGTCATCCCTAGTCATCCCTAGTCATCCTTAGTCATGCCAGTCATCCCAGTCATCCCTAGTCATCCCTAGTCATCCCTAGTCATCCCTAGTCATCCCAGTCATCCCTAGTCATCCCTAGTGATCCCTAGTCATCCCAGTGATCCCAGTCATCCCTAGTCATCCTTAGTCATCCCTAGTCATCCCAGTCATCCCTAGTCATCCCTAGTCATCCCTAGTCATCCCAGTCATCCCAGTCATCCCTAGTCATCCCTAGTCATCCCCAGTCATCCCTAGTCATCCCAGTCATCCCTAGTCATCCCTAGTCATCCCTAGTCATCCCAGTCATCCCTAGTCATCCCTAGTCATCCCAGTCATCCCTAGTCATCCCTAGTCATCCCTAGTCATCCCGTCATCCCAGTCATCCCTAGTCATCCCTAGTCATCCCAGTCATCCCAGTCATCCCTAGTCATCCCTAGTCATCCCTAGTCATCTCAGTCATCCCTAGTCATCCCTAGTCATCCCTAGTCATCCCAGTCATCCCTAGTCATCCCTAGTCATCCCTAGTCATCCCTAGT